CTGTCTTATCCAGGCTTAGTTCCCAAGTAGTCCCCTTGATTTTTTACATCTCACAAGACCCTCAACTTTTCGAACCTGGTAGCCCTGCCACACACAGACTCTTTGTGATTCAGAAGCAACTTCACATTTGCATTTGTATTGGGTCCCTCTGAATCTCCTTACTTTAATAAGTGTTTTCTAATTGTCTAGGATAATTTATGTATGGTATGACAGTGGATTGTTAAGTATAACTTAATGAGAATTTTTGACTAATTGGTAACCTACATTCTTAATGTTCCAATAGCAAAACTTTTGTTTTCCCTGTACAGTGAATTGTTTTATTTTCACTGAGATTTTTATATGCTAGAGCCAGATTTATTTTAGAGTTTGCCAACATTGTCAGGATCTGGGTTTGAGACTGAACTATTTTGCAAAATTGATTTGAGTACTTCAGTTAAGATTTATGAGGAAAATTTCTTTCAAAGCCATAAACACATTCAAATACTTTTAAAAAATCATTTGCTTAAAATGTACTTTTTGCTATCATAAATTTCCCACCCCTCTAGAGTTGGAAGTCTAAACATTGAAACATTATGCTACTATGTGAGAATGAATATTTTAATATTCAAAGAGAAACTGACTGGTTTTTCAATGTCATTGTATATAGTGAGAAAATTTGATTTCAACAATTTTATTGTTTATAACATGTCAATATGTTTAGATGCTTCTGTATAAAGCATTATACACATATATTTATATCTATGAATTAAAGTTTCCTTTTAAACGTCTATGTCTCAAAGCAACTTTATTTGGCTTAAAAAAGAAAAAAAATAAATAAATAAACGTCTATGCCTTAACTTTCCTTGGTAACATTTACTCAAAATTCTTGTATAGAGGTTTCCTTTTTTATGCCTTTTTTAATCTAGAAAGAAATTAGTTGTCCTTTGTTTCTAATATGATATGAATTCTTTTACATTGTGTTTGTGATGCAAATTCAAGTTGTTTGTAGCTGATGCATTGAAATAAATGAAATGGGATTTTCAGCAGAGATATTTGAGGTCTTTACCTAGGACAAAGTAAGTAATTTTTTATACACTTAGCCGGAATAAAAGACTTCTTTCTGGTTTTGTGTTAAGTCTGACCTCTATGGATTGGGCCTCTCCTAAGTGATTCAAGTCCTCCATTATTTAGTCAGACAGTCAGCAATGACTGTTCCAAACTACAGCTTTCAATGCTCTGCATTTTCAATGACTTCTGCCTTCTTGGTTGGCTAATTGGGGGGCTTTCTCCATTCTTTATGAAAAGGACTTTTTGTGCAAATGGTGCATTGACTGAGGGAAACTTTATTTGGGGCTTACTTAATGAGGGTCTCTTCTAATACTTTCCTGAGGGTAATGTACGATTTAGGAGCAAGTGGGCTACTGTGTTCTTTTCTCAGGACCATTGTATTCCTTTTTACAGGTGACATGCATTTGGAGAATAATAAACATAGTCTAAAATGTAAGAAAAAGCAAACCAGAATTCACTCTCCCTCGGGTACACATGACAAGTTCTTTCTTTTTCCTTTTACTTATCACAATGGAAGAGTGAAAGGCGGAGTGTGCGAGGCTGAGTAAGGCTGAGCATGATTAAGTGCCATTAGACCGGTCAGCTTTCTATCTCAAAGCCATTGTTACTCATTTCCTAACTCATATTCATGTAGGAACATAAGAAAGAAATACTGAACACACAGGATGGGGTGGGTATTCAGAAGACGAGATGTTACACAGGAGTCTACATACAACACATACCGATCAATCTAGGAGCAAATAAACTCCACTATGCCCCCATGAAATGAGATGTAGAGAAATTTCCATTAGCGCGGTCTGAAACGTTAGGCTTTGCTGACATTGTTTAACAAAACCATAATATAGAAAAGAAACAACAATTTTATGCATATACTTTTAATAAAGGACATAGGAAGATAAAGCTGGCCAGCATTGTCAGTATTTCTGCAGCAAGACACATGGTTTTAACAATACTATATACAATCACTTTTAGCAGATTGGTGGAAAAAAGGATTTGTGGCAAATTGGCAACTTGAGCTTAACTGCTGAGGTCCCCTGCGCCTTTCTTTTTCTGGCTCTCCAATACAGTTCATGTATTAGTACCAAGACCCAGTCCCAGCTTTCCTGCTATGTTCCTTTGCAGATTTAGCCAGCAGGGTGAAAGCAATTATTCCTTGAATGCATCTTATTGTTTTTTTCCTTTGACACCATTCCCTACTAAGAATCTATTTCCTGATATATTGAATTCATTGTCTATTTTAATTCATCGTGCTGATGGCCGTGTACAGGCTGCTCGAAATAACATATTGAATGGTTTTGGACACCGTGTAGGACACAACCCTAGCCCTTTTGGGGAAGTAAACACTCATGGGTTGCATGCTGTTAGGAGCCACCCATTCATTTTTATATTATATCCCACATGCAAAAGGCTACAATTTAATAGGGTACATTACAGCTATGGTTGAAGAAATGGAGATGTACCATACCCAATCAACCATTTCCTACTAACTGGATGGAGCTCATAAGTTTTCTAAGAACATGGGACTTGTGGAAGAGCCTGATGATCTTGTTAGATGTCCTCTTTGCCTCTGCTTAAAACATGTCTTTTGTACCAACTCGGTCTCTCAACCACTCTGAGAGCAGAGGTTCTGGAATGTATACATGGAATGTTCTTCACCTGCTTTGATTGTTAGACTTTTTTTCTAAAAGGAGAGGACAGAGAATCGTTCTTTTAAAATATTTGCTCTTGATAGCCAGGCAGCGTGCTTAGGGGGAAGTGTGTGTGCGTGTGCATGGGCACGTGTGTATGTAGATACGTGTGACAAGAGGAAAAAAGGATAGGCTTTGAATGACTTATATTCCTGTGAATTTGGGCCTCGTTAAATTTTAGGTGCACGTTACAATAATGTATATTCAACACTCTTAAAACATACATGCTAAGATTGTGCTTAAATCTCCATTAACCTCAATGTCTACACATTGTGCAATTTGGCATAAACATGGGGAAGCACATTCTTTTTTCTGGCAAAGACAGCCTGAGATTGGGCTCTTGGGTGCCACAGGAGATAATGGCACTGGTGAAAGATACGTGTCACATGGGGGGGGGGACAGGCACATGTTGCATTTCTATCACACAGAAAATAAGAGTTGTATAAATTGCATACTTTGAGATTTTTGACAAAGTGGCACTCTTTTGGAATGTGATCCTGTCCTAATTGCTCTTAATGTTCTAAGTTGTTCCATGGTAATTCCAGTAGTAGGAAGCCAAGTCCACAGTATACTGGACATGGTAACTGTGGGCTCCGCCCAGGACAGCTATGTGCTTTTAAAGGGCACTTCATTTCTTTTCCCCTTAATTTTTCCAGCTGTACCATGGGGAAAATGATTTTAATTCTCCTTCCAAGGACATTGTTGGAACAAATGGGAAAACATTAACAAAGTGCTCTAAGCTCTGTAAGAACAAATCAGCAATGAGCATGGAAGAAAGGATGAAGGACACTGTTTTGCTTAGAAATACTATTATGATTAAACCTCTCATTCTAGTCCTGAAATTAACGACATATAAGAGCACTAGGGAGTTAACATAGCACCTTTCAGCTGTAGAATTCTAACAACAAGTATCTTCATTTTGCAAATGGGGAAGATGAGTACCAAAGATTGGGGAATGAGATCCCACAGGGGTTACTGGATAGGACTCCAAGGAAATGCAAGCAAAGGAGCCAGATCAGGGTATGCTAACTATTAAACAAACCTCTCTGTCTTCTTGATCAGTAATCAACTAGTTGGATGCCTATGTACATTGTTCAATACTCAAATGATCCATGGATAAGGATATCATCAGAGTCTATAAACTAATGGGATCAAGGTGCTAAGATAAGAATAGGGTTTCTTGTTTCTCCAAGCCCCAGGTAAAACCCTGATTTAGGGTTGGCACAGTGGCTCACACCTGTAATCTCAGCACTTTGGGAGGCTGAGGCAGGAGGATTGCTTGAGGCCAGGAATTCGAGACCAGTTGAGTAAGACTGTGTCTCTACCAAAACAAACAAAAAAAAAAACCCCAAAAAACCCTCAAAACCCTGATCTATTTAGCCTTTTGAAGATAGTGTAAATCTGTAAGGCATTTGACAATCAGCTTTGCATTTGCCCCAAACCCTGATCTATTTGGCTTTTTGAAGACAGTGTAAATCTGCAAGACATTAGATAATCAGCTTTGCATTATAGCTCTCCTGAGTTTTACCCTCCCAGTGCTTCCCTGTAGTTCACTGACACTTTGTTTTATGACCTGATTTCTGTGGGAGCTGAGTGCTGATACATTCTATGCATCAAAGAAGTTCTTGATGCCTTTCTGACTTTGAATCATAGTTAGCAGCTGCTCTGCCTAAACTCTTGGCAGAAGATCATAGATGGGAAAGGGGAAGATTGCTTTGAGGCCTACTGTCTGTGCAGTAAGTAATGCCCTGCATTTAGAGGATGGTACATTTCTATATGAATAGTAGGCAAGGCTTGTCCATCAGAAGACCATGTGGATGACCAAATAACCTTTCAAGAGAAACCTAAACAAGAGAGTGTTTTAGAGAAAGAACAGAAGGGGGATAACTTTTTTTCCATCTGAACATATAAGATTACACTATGAAACCCAGTGTGCATAGTCTTCTAGGCTGCTTCTTGGCTTCTGAGTTTGAGAAACAAGCCCTAATAGATTTACTCATGTCTTCTATTCTCTCAAATGAAATGCTGACCACCATCCATTTAATCTATGCTAAAATCTCACCTTGGTCTGGGAGGCCGAAGTGGGAGGATTGCTTGAGGTCAGGAGTTCAAGACCAGCCTGAGCAAGAGTGAGACCCCCCCTGTCTCTACAAAAAAATGGAAAAATGAGCCAGGCTTGGTGGTACACGCCTGTAGTCCCAACTACTTGGGAGGCTGAGGCAGGAGGACTGCTTGGGCCCAGGAGTTTGAGGCTTCGGTGAGTTATGACGACACCACTGCACTCCAGCTGGGGTGACTGAGCCTCTGTCTCAAAAAAGAAAAAAAAAAAAAAACTCACCTTGGTGAAAGTTACCTAGGAGGTCCAAATGAATAGGTTTTGTTTTTGCTTTAAAAAGCTGGACTTCCCATTTTCTCAGCTCCACTGGAGCCCCAATACTGAATTATTTGTGGACGGCAACTCTCTTTTACTCAAGAAGATTTTTTGGGGGGAAGATAATTTAGTAAATGTAACAATCCCTCTAGAAGCTCAATTCCTTGATATCTGTAAAATGCCTCTAACTCCCACTGATCTCTGTAAGAGCTGTGAGCTTTTATTGTCAGCAGGTGGGCACTGGAGTGCTGGTTGAAAAATGAAAAACATCAATACTCTTAGGTATTATTATTATAAAGAAGCAGCATTAGTGTTCATACTCATTGATTCAGGCACTAGGACTGAAAAACAGGCTGATTATAAATAAATGGCAATGGACGTAAACTATTTTAATGGCTAAACTACCACTGAAGTTAGAAAAAAAGGAAGGAAAGATGGAAGGAAGGAAGGAAGGAAGGAAGGAAGGAAGGAAGGAAGGAAGGAAGGAAGGAAGGAAGGAAGGGTGGATTGGCATATTTGGTTATCACTATCTGTACATTAACCCTTGCTGTGAAAACACATTTTTAGTGCTAATCTTCAGGCTAATGTCAGCTGTGAAACTTTACGCTTACCAATAGTATTGTCATTAAACCTGAAAACGACCCTGAAAAACCCTTAACAAAACCCGTGGTCCATAATTTAGGCTTGTAGTTTTTCTTTCACCATAAAAATAATTCATAAAGGCTAAAATAAAGCTAAGTAGGAGATAAATGAATAAAAGTAATTGGAGAATTTTACCACAGCCTGGCATTAAAGGTCTTTAAAACACTAATTGTTATATTTAATAAAGTAGAAGTCCTGACCTGATCTGATTTGATCTTCTCAACAGCTAATTCGATTCCCAATTTGAAGACCTTGGTCACTGTGTATTGAATCACCCTCTCAAATTTTAGATACCTGATGTAGCGATGGTTTAAAGCTCAGCAAATATTTAAATTGCTATTTAGAGAAGAAGCATGATTAAATAAATGCCTCCAATTTTTTAACCTTAATTTTCACAACACGATAGCAGAATTTTGTATAGATATGCTGCACATACACATGTTTCTAAGTGCACATGCACACAAGCAGCAAATGTAGTCTGATACCCCTCATCACCAAAAGACCCTATAAATATAATTAATAGTCTTTCTATGGGAATTAAAGACTCCAAGGAAGTCTTCTGAATTCCCTTTTACCTGATAAAATGAATGAAAAAATATATATTTTACATTTAGGCTTTCACAGATTGGGGAAAGGAAATGAAGAAAGAAAGGAAAACTGGCTTGAATTAACTGCTACCAAATTGGAGTTCAGTCAGTTTTCAATGTAAAGTCCTGAAACATTTGCACAGCAAGTATTTGATGGAATGCTTTCAAATTGTGAAGGTTTCAATCCAACATGGTGACTTATTTTGAAGATTAGAATGGTTCCCAACACTGAACTCTGTAAGCCTCATGGGAGATGGTGGATCCTGGGAATAAAGAGAAGAAATTCACAGGTGAGCTGAACAACTGTACATATTCACACGTTAACACCCATTTGACAATAATACACGACCACTGTGAAAAGTATAGATTAGCATCGAAAAATTTTAAGTGAAAAAGGCAGGATGCAAAATGCTATTGTTATTTTTAACCCAAAAATTGTTATCTGGAACAAAAGACTGAGGAAATACACTAAACTGTTGAAAGTGGTGGATTCATGGGTAACTTATTTTCATTTTCTCTACTTTCTACTTGTATTTTTCATATTTTCTTTAGTAAATGTATAATTTGATAACTTAAAAATAATTTATTTTTAAAATCCACACATAAATTACATGAGCTTTGAAATTGGGCAATTCTCAATTTTAATTCTATTATTGCTCTGCCTCTTGGGCAAATAATGTCAATGGCTCTTAGTTTTCATAGCTGCAAAACAGGCATAATGAAATCTACCTAAAGCAATATATGGCATATAGTAGGCCCACAAGTAGCTTTCTAGAAATAATTTGGCCATATACACTGGGCCTTTAAAAAATTCATGCCAGTAATTTTGCTTCTAGGATTCATTTCTATGGAAATGATTATAAATGAGCAGAAAAATTTATGACCAATGATATTATTCATATCATTCATAATAGTGGAAAACTGGATAAAATCTTAATGTTGGATAACAGAGAATGGTTAAATAAACAGTACCTTGAAATAATGAGAAAATATTTTTGGTGTTAGTGAAAAAAGCAGAATTCAAAACAGAACATAGTAAGATTTTACTGTTTAAAAAATATATTCATAGAAAATATTGGAAAGGATACAATAAAATTTTAACAAGAGTTATCATTAGGTGGTAGGATTATGAGTGATTTTAATTTCCTTCCTAGATTTTTCTCTTTTCTATTCTGAGTATGCTTAATATACTTTTGTTTAGAGATGGGGTCTCACTATGTTGCCCAGTCTGGCCTCAAACTCCTGGGCTCACAAGATCCTTCTGCTTCAGCTTCCTGAGTAGCTGGGACTACAGGCACATGCCACCACACCAAGGTAATATACTTTTAAAATTAATTCTAATATGTATCATTATTTTCTGATTACAAGAGCAATGCATGTTCATCATAGAATACTTGAAAAATATAGAAAAGAATAAGGAAAAATAATGACCTATAATCAGAGGTCTGTTTTCAGAGACTGTTTTCCATCCTCCCTCCTTCTCATTCATTCATTCATTCGAGAAATATTTATTGAATACTTACCATGTGCCAGGCACTGTGCTAGGGGCTGGTACTAAACTGTGAACAAGACATAGTCACTACCCTCAAGGAACTTACAATCTTGTGTGGGAAGCAGACAAGTAAATATTACAGCACAGAAAAAAGTCTCTTGTAACAGTATCATGGTAGCACTGGGAAGAGACATATAGCTCAGCTCTGGGGTCAGGTCAGCCAGTGATACCCTGAATAAGTGATGTGGAAGCTGAACTCTGGAGGATAAAGATTATGTAGCCAGGGCCGGGCGCTGTGGCTCACGCCTGTAATCCTAGCTCTCTGGGAGGCCGAGGCGGGTGGATTGCTCGAGGTCAGGAGTTCGAAACCAGCCTGAGCAAGAGCGAGACCCCGTCTCTACTATAAATAGAAAGAAATTAATTGGCCAACTAATATATATAGAAAAAATTAGCGAGGCATGTGGCGCTTGCCTGTAGTCCCGGCTACTCGGGAGGCTGAGGCAGGAGGATCGCTTGAGCCTAGGAGATTGAGGTTGCTGTGAGCTAGGCTGATGCCACAGCACTCACTCTAGTCTGGGCAACAAAGTGAGACTCTGTCTCAAAAAAAGAAAAGAAAAGAAAAGAAAAGAAAGAAACAATGGTGATATAGCACCTCTTTTATTTTCCTGGATAGAGCTGGAACCCATTCTACTAAGTGAAGTATTACAAGAATGGAAAAACAAGCACCACATGTACTCACCATCAAGTTGGTTTTAACTGATCAACACTTAAGTGCTCATATAGTAATAACATTCATTGGGTGTCAGGCAGGTGGGAGGGAGAGGAGGGGTTGGGTATATACACACCTAATGAGTGCAGTGTGCACAGTCTGGGGGTTGGGCACACTTGGAGGTCTAACTAACTTGGGTGGGGCAAAGGCAATATACGTAACCTAAACATCTGTACCCCCATAATATGCTAAAATAAAAAATTGAAAATTAAAATATAAACTGCACTCATATACCTTTTCACATAACTCTATTAATTATTCTACAAAATAATTATTTTTAATGGTTGTACAATATTTCATCGTAATGATGTAGCAATTTATTTTACCACTCTTCTATTGCTATTTAGTTTTGTTTCAAATTTTCTGCTCTTAAAATAAATTCATGATAAATAGTTGTAGAGATTTCTAATTATTTCACTAAATATATTCCTAAAATGGAGTAGTTACCAGATAAAATTGTATTGTAAGGCTTTTATACATGTTCCAAAATTTCACTCAAAAAATTATCTCAGATCAGCAGTGTATGAGAACATCTGTTTGAACATGTTCTTGCCAACACTATGTACTGTAAATTGTAAAAATAGGCTGATTTAATAGAAAAAAAATTAGTCTTAAATATTTTACATTATTTTAATTTGTATTTCTTTACCGTGAAGTTGAAAAATTTTTATGTTTATTTTTCATTTTTGTTTTTATCTGGTTGATTGTTCATATCCTCTGCCCATTTTCTAACTGTTGTGTTTTTCTTTTGCTTACTAATTTGCAAGAGCTTTGTAAATTAAGGATATTAAATTTTGCATATTGTATATTTATTTGCCAAGTTTGTCTTTTTATTTTGAAGAAAATATCATCTAGAATCAGTGCATTGTTTTGGGTAAAAGTTATGGCAATACGTTTTTATGTGCAAAAATTTGAGACAAAATGAAAAAATGTTAGCATTTATTAATTCTAAGTTGTAAACACATGGGTATTCACTTTATCCTTTTTTTAATTAAAAAAAACTTTTCAAAAGAAAATAAAGGAAAGTAAGTATAAAATCTCTAATAATTTGGACATACATAACATTCATCCATTCTACTGCTAGACATTCAGGTTGTTTTCAAGTTTGGAGCTTTTACAAATATCACTGTAGTAATTATCTACATATATTTAAAAAAATTCTTCATATCTTGATAAGTTTTAAAATGCCTCTCCCTTTTCTGCTGGATTGAGCTGGTTGCCTCCTCTTATTGTGGAGAGGACTCACTTCATCCTGGCTTTTGATCTTTTTTTTTTTTTTTTGAGACAGAGTCTCACTTTGTTGCCCAGGCTAGAGTGAGTGCCATGGCCTCAGCCTAGCTCACAGCAACCTCAAACTCCTGGCTCAAGCAATCCTCCTGCCTCAGCCTCCCAAGTAGCTGGGACTACAGGCATGCGCCACCATGCCCGGCTAATTTTTTCTATATATACTAGTTGGCCAATTAATTTCTTTCTATTTATAGTAGAGACGGGGTCTCACTCTTGCTCAGGCTGGTTTCGAACTCCTGACCTCGAGCAATCCGCCCGCCTCGGCCTCCCAGAGAGCTAGGATTACAGGCGTGAGCCGCCGCGCCCGGCCTGGCTTTTGATCTTTTTACATGTGTAGATCATATTTCTCTAAGCTCTTCCACCTAGATACTTAAGTCTTAAAGCATTGGCCTTTCTATTACAGTTCAGCTCTTTAATTTGCCCCCCTCCTTCTCAATAACATGAGCATGGATTCAGCATGTCCTCAAAGACTGCCTTGGGTGAAGCATCTGATTCCAGAGACTCTTCATCAATGCCTGTGATTTGTGGGCCTGAAGAAAATGATCCATCCTTGCAAATGTCTTCTGCTGAGTTGCCCCACACAAAGACTGGAGGGCCCTGATCCTTCCACCAGTCCTGAAGTAAAACTACCCACTTCTGTAGAGAAGAGTGTAGTGAAGAAGAAAGATAAGGTCCAGGTCAAGAAACAGAAGAGCAGAAGTGCGTTCTCTCTGACCCAGTTGTGTGTACACAATGATAGATTTCAGAGACAAAAATATCTCAGCCTGCAGAAGATGCAAGAACTTTCCAATATCCTGAACCTAAGCTACAAACTGGTTAAGACCTGGTTCCAGAACCAGAACATGAAATCTAATTGGAGCCTAATCAAAGAAGTTCCAGTAATCTTGGCTGCTATGAACAATATGATATCTCTGGATATAGATAAGTAGATATAATACTAGTTTGGATATCTTTAATATTTAGAATCTAACCACAAGAATAGGAAGTGAAAAGTACAAAGATATGTCATGAAGGATTATTCCCATTTTCTGGGATTGGGAGGCTTCATTTATTAAAAACCTCAATTGTTCAGGTGAAGTGTTAAGCTATTAATGCACTTCATTGATTTCCTCCACCTCTTTTGATTCTGTGGTTTACTACAACCCCTAATTTGTTTATTACTGTAATATTTGTAGACAGATGTTTCGTATTTGGCTGCATCATGCTGATGTCAGTACCAGTATGGCTGGTTTAAGTACGAATGTATAAAATATCCATTTTACCAAAAAGCAAAGCTTCTCCCACTCTTACCTTCTGTGTTTCCAAACACTTTTCTATTTTTGTCTAAACATGACTTTGTTGCTCCCACAAAATTAATCAGTTTCTTAATTTATGTGGACAGAGTGTCCTAGAAAAGGCATTGCTTAAAGTCAATTTTGCTTACCTCAGGAATAATATAAAAATGTATTTCATAGTTCAATAATCACTCAAGATGCCCTAAAAAATGGTAACATGGTCACATAAATTTGGGAAATAACTTTTTACACTTTTGGGGATTCACAAAGTTCCTTAGCATACTAAAAGTCCTGATAAGTACTGCATTAAAGACAAAGTTCCATGATATGCACAAAAGAAAGAATCCAATAGTCAAATGAGTTTAGGGGGCTACTACAAACTCTACTTTTTGTGTGTGTGAGACAGGTTCTTTCTCTGTTGCCTGGGCTAGAGTATAGTGTTGTCATCATAGCTCATTGCGACCTCAAACTCCTTGGGCTCAAGTGACCCTCCTGCCTCAGCCTCCCGAGTATCTGGGACTACAGGCATGCGCCACCATGCCTGGCTAATTTTTTTCTATTTTTAGTAGAGACAGGGTCATGCTCTTATTCTTGCTCAGGCTGGTCTCAAACTCCTAATCTCAAGTGATCTTCCTGCCTTGGCCTCCCTGAGTGTTAGGATTACAGGCGTGAGCCACTGTGCCTGGACTACAGTTTCCTTTGCATGAGTTACAAAACTTATTAGGATAGTAAAGGCCCTGAGAATTCCTACACTAAAGAGAACTCTGTAATTTTGCTTATATAAGGTTTCATAAATTTATTCATCAGAGAACTTTTTTTCCCTTTAACATTTGACATGTCAAAGTACTAGTGTTTTATAGAATACCCTTAACAAAATGCTAAAATAAGAAGATTAGAGAGATGAGCACCATGGCTAACTGAAATCTAGATACTACTACCATACAAGTTGTCTTACCTAAACATCAAGCATTTCATCAGGGCTTTGGATAAGAAAACAGACTTAATTCTTCCTTCTTTTTAATCATTGATTATAAGTGAAGGTTTTTAAACGTACTGCCATAATGGAAATAGCATGCTTTGAGGTCAGACAGACGTGGGTTACAATCTTAGGTTAGCCACTTACTAGTTAAACCTCTCTGCACTTCAGTTTTCTCATAAGTAAAATGGGAATAATAACATTCATCTCACAGAGTTGGTGTGAGGATTAAATAAGATAACCTATGTCAAGCGAAGTGGCTGGCATGGACAAGGTCTTGTATGGTATCTATACTTGAACACAGTAGAAATTCTGTAAGGGAAATAACTGAAGACTTGAGAACCACAGACTGATAGGCTTCTAAATAACTACTAGCTTTTTCGTGGGAATAGAATGGGAAGTCTTATCAGAGCAGAGCTTTGAGTTTCGTGGCATTTCTGTTACTAAAATCCTCCTTGTAATACTGAATGACACTGGCTTTATTTACCTTCGAGTTTTGCAAAGACAAGGTTGTTTAGCTTTTCGCTAGGCCAAAGAGAATCCCATTTGTAAAGCTGTCTGCCACTGATTAACAAATTAGTACCATTTTCGGAGGGTTGGAGTGTAGGAATGGTGTTTTTGCCCATTAGTGGGTAACAGTAGGTTATTAACTGACATCATGGAGTTGGGCAAAAAAAAACCTGTTTGTAATCAATACCATTTCAGAGAACTGGAATGCACCAGGTCGAGGGTTATAATTCATGGTATGAAAGCAAATAACCTGAATGTGATGTTTGGCTGTTTCTGGATCCCCTGGGGTCTTTTAGCACAAGTGACATAAATGTGAGTTTGCAGGGAAGAAGGGTGTCTTTTTCAGTACACTGCACAGGGAAATTATGTATAGAATTTCTGCTTATGTGTGCAATAAAAGAGAGAAGAGTTTAGTATCTTGTTCACCAGGATGAGAACTTACTCCTTCTGCTCCCAAGGCTGCTTCTTGGCAGTTCAGGTGACATTGTATATGTCTCCCTCAGAATACTAACCTGTCTGAGAGATGCAGGAAATGTGAAAACTGCTATGTTTCCGTTTCCACGGCAAGAGATGATGAGCCTTCTGGATAATCTGTAAGGTTAAAAAGTGAAGATGATCAAATGCCCCTGTGCTTTATATGGGTAGGTGATCATTCATTGGTATTTTTCCTCACTGTCTGATCACTGGAAGCAGCAGATATCTGCAAACCTCTAAAGACTGGTGTGCTACACAGAAGCATCTGTAGCCAGTCCAGGCATTCACATTCCAAGAGTAGTCAGCCTGATCTACTATGAACTAAGATTATTTTATTCATCTGCAGTATCTGATCTATAATACCAGCTGGTATGTGACTTCAATAGCTGTGATAATAGCAATACTGCAAGACTCTCTGACTTTAATGGAATGTTTTGGGTCTTGCTACTTGCAAAATTACCCTGTCTTCCCGATATTCCACTGGACATAATTGAGATAGCTATTACAGTACTTTTGGTGTTGGGATTAACAGCAACATTATTTATGGTACAAATATTTTTATTTCTGACCTCCAGCCTGTTGGGAGAGCAAAGTACACTATGAATCAGCTTGCTTAATGCACAGATAACCACTTTTTTCATACTCACAGCATAATAACGTAATAATCTACTTGGTACTTTGAGATAAAAATGTTGACAGTGGTCATCCGCTACAGTTTCTGCTTAGTACATTTTCTTTTATGAAATTAATGTGCCATTCAGGGGGCTCCAATAAGTGTGAGGTTTAGATTCCTGAAGATAGAGGCTAGCCAGCCAGAGTGGATTACCCTTGCCATAGCAGGTTGGCAAAAACTCTCATGCCACTGAGTTAACCAGGCAGATTCCAGATGCAAGATCACAATGGAATACTACTCAATTCTAAGAAATGACAGTGAGCTAGCACCATTTATGCTATCCTGCATTAAGCTTAAGCCCGTTATCCAAAGTGAGGCAGCACAAGATCTGGAAAATGGGCTCCACATCTATTCGTCATCAAATTTGTACTGACTGATTAAAAATATGGTGCTCAAATGGTGGTAGTGTTCACCAGGGATTCGGGGGGGTGGGATACACATCTTAGGGATGTGGTGAGCATTGTGTGTGTGGGGGAGGGAATATCTCTAACCCTTCGTAGGGAAAGCCAAAGATACACAATGTAACCAAAAGGTCAAAAAAGGAAAAAAAAAGAAAAGAAAAGAAAACTTTTATCGGGTGGTGGGCAGATGGGAGGGGGAGGAGGGGAAGGATATATACTTACCAAATAGGTGTGATGTGCATCACCTGGGGGTTGGACACGCTTGATGTTTTGACAAGGCGGGGGGTGGGGTGGGGGGAGGAATGGCAGAGGAAATATATGTAACCCTAACAATATTTGTACCCCCATAATATGATAAAATAAAAGGGAAAAAAAAATTTCTTCCAGGAAAAGTGGAAAAGTAAAAGTGGCTCTGGCCCAGGCATAGTGGCTCATGCCTGTAACCCTTCACTCTGGGAGGCCAAGGGGGGAGGATCGCTTGAGCTCAGGAGTTCTAGACCAGCCTGAGCAAGAGTGAGACCCTGTCTCTCCTAAAAATAATTTAAAAAAATTAGCCAGGCAACTAAAAATAGAAACAAGAAATTAGCCGGGCATGGTGGTGAGCACCTGTAGTCCCAGTACTTGGGAGGCTGAGGCAGGAGGATCGCTTGAGCCCAGGAGTTTGAGGTTGCTGTGAGCTAGGCTGATATCATGGCACTCTAGCCCATGCAACAGAGTATGTCTCAAAAAAAAAAAAAGTGAGAATTCTGCCTTTGTGTTTGTCTAACAAAGAGAAAAAGAGATAGCAAGTGCTTAAGCATACATCTCATACCACCTATCCAACATTTCTACCAAGAAGGCAATTGACAAAGAGTCAAAGACAATTCTGGAAGTGCAATGAACTTCCTTGCCTTGCTGCTAGAGAGAAGTGATGCTAATTTGCTCAGTGCCCACTCCTTGCTGATGATGGGCTATCTCAGAATTTTATAGGTATGGTTTGGCAATGAGCTTTTCCAGAAGTTGGCTTTTAGTATTCTGCTAGGTGGGTTTCTTTTACTTTTTTTTTTCTTTTTGAGACAGAGTTTTGCTTTGTTACCCAGGCTAGAGTGAGTGCCATGGCGTCAGCCTAGCTCACAGCAACCTCAAACTCCTGGGCTCAAGCAATCCTCCTACCTCAGCCTCCCGAGTAGCTGGGACTACAGGCATGCACCACCATGCCCAGCTAATTTTTTCTATATATATTAGTTGGCCAATTAATTTCTTTCTATTTATAGTAGAGACAGGGTCTCGCTCTTGCTCAGGCTGGTCTTGAACTCCTGACCTAGAGTGATCCACCCGCCTCGGCCTCCCAGAGTGCTAGGATTACTGGTGTGAGCCACTGTGCCTGGCCTCTTTTACTTTTTTCTTCTGCAACTTGCACTCTTATTTGGCACAGAACACTTATTCCAAGAAATTATTTGAATTAAAATCATATACTTGCAGACATTGGGGACTGAGCTGAAAAACATGATTATCAACTCCCTTCATGGTTGCTCTCCTAGGGTTAGATTAACCTAAGGCTGCAAAGATAGCTCACTTCGTGAGAACTAAATTGAAAAATGCAGACACCTCAAGAAATCAGGCTATGCATAATAGAAGACAAATACAGAATTTAGGAAGTCAATTCACCTTCTCTTTCTACCATCTGCCCTATGTTGCTTCCCCCAATCCTTCCTGTTCTTGCGGTCTATGCAGTAGTAATTTCACCATTATTCAACAGGTGTCTACTTGAACCAAGAATGATGTCATTTTAGTTTTAGCGTATGCTGGTGAAGCTCTTATTCTCTCCCTGTCTTGTCCTACATCTCCTCCTTTCCTTTAAAATTCTAGGTTCCCACATAAACCCTTGATACTATGTGAAGTGACTGGCAGTATATGTACACTTCTTTCCGGCCATTGGTTCTGACAGATTGGGAAGAATAGGGAAGAGGACACAATGAAGTCTGGAAGAACTTAGGTTGAGTTGTGACTGTTTTATGACCTTACATACGTCACATTGCCTCCCCAGCCTCAGCTTTTTCATCTGTAAAATAGGAGCAATACTCTCCCATTCACAGTATTTCTGGGATTCCCTCCTCCAAACTATGAGTGTTCTTTAATGTTCTATCCTTGACCTTGTGACTTTCTATTTCACCATTCATTCCCTTGTCCACATGGATGTATGTCAACACTGCTTAGGTGATTACATTCTATCTCTTTTCTTTAGTTTTATTCTTTCCTTGATTATCTCCTTTACTTCTAGGTATTTAGCTGCCATTTCTGGACAAATGACTCCCAGTTCTCTCTAGACAGTGGAATTATTTCCAGTTATTTAAAATGTCTTTTGTTTTTTATCCTTCCTCTCCACTTCTAGCCTTACCACCACTCATGAAGCCACTGTGACACAGGCCCAGCTTTTTGCTACTCTTTCCAGTTCTTGTCTGTCCAAATTCCAATCCATCCTGCACAACAGTACATGAGTAGTCTTTCTAAAATTTACCTTGCAGATTATATTAATATATCACTCAGGATCATAAAATTAATAGTTATTTTCTATTATATCAAGTCTACAAAGCCCGGCACCATCTGGCTATATTTTACTTGTCTAAGACTATGGCTCACAACCCACAATGCCTACCTGGTGTTTCAAAATGGATTGATTCCTCAGTGTTCTTACCACATTTATGTTGCAACTCTTACCTGGAATGCTATTTCCTTCTTCCTAGCATCTATCTTGATGTTATCCATCCTAATAACATCTAGCTTAAGTCCTGCCTCTCCCTCAAAACTCTCACCAGTATAGCCTATACACTTTCTCCCTTTATAGATACACTCAGTATTTAAGCATCACTAGCAATCACATACTTAACGCATGTACCACACAGTACCTAGCACAGGGCTAAGCCTACATTAGGTATGTAATTACTAGCATCATTTTATGGCAATGAGCATACCAAGTATCATGTTAGACTTATGTGCTTTTCTTATCTTTTCCTGAAATTGCAAATTCCTTGAGGGTAGAGGTGACCTTGTATTTAACTTTATATCCCTCCACAGTACCTTGTTTGAAGTGTACCCTTAGGAAATGCTTTCTGAAGTGAACTGAATGATGAGAAACTTGCATTATTTCATGAACACATACCAATTTAGAGCTTAGGGTTGGACAATGAAGGGAAAGCAGTAAAACAAACATCCATGGTATTACTGAATGAGGTCAGTTTTCCAGGAGCTGAGCATATGGAAACTCCCTCTCTTCTTATCTAGAAACATAGGGGATTAGAAGATGAGGGAATTCCCGGTAAAAATATAAATAGAAACATGGGGGAGAAATCATTTGGAAAACTCCAAGCTACCCAAAGGAGTAGCCTTTCCCTAGCCCAGTGCATTGTGTTTGATGCCTTCAGGGATGAAACCTAGGATTCCTACTATGAAACAAAGGCGAATGACAAGTATGAGAATAAGTATGAGAACAGGTTGTTTATAGGCCAGTGACCAAAATGCTAGGTAGAAGTGGTAAGAGGGAGCAACTGGGTATATACAGAGAGAACACATCAAGAAAGAAATTCATATATGTAACCCTAACAATATTTGTACCCCCCTAATATGATAAAAGTAAAAAAAAAGAAAGAAATTCAGTTCTGGAATGTGGAAGGTATATCAACAATGTAAGTTTATACTGGTCTCTAGTTTATAATAGCATTACTTCTGAAAAAAGAAAGGAACATTTGGTCAAAGATATCAGGTTGTGGTTATTCAGCTTGACATCTGACCCCCAAGTGTCAGATGGGATTATAAAATATCACACCTTAGAGATGAAGATAGCTTAGAGATCATGGAATTGAAACTGAGGTCCAGAGAGAAAGGATTTTCCAAAACTCACACACTGAACCTAGTGGCAGAACTGGGAAATGTTTCCCATGCTAGAGCTCTATGCAGGATTCCCCATCCTTCTATTTTTGGTGATAGAGGCACAGGAGCTGAGATAATTTGCTTTCAAATGGAACTTAAAAAGATCTATAAATTGAAAAGTAAATAGGAGCAAAGGA